CCCCCCCCCCGTGGGTTCAACTCCCCCCTCGGACGCCTCTGGGACACCTCTCGGGCATCTCTTATGGCATCCACTTTGGCTTAACTCCTCCGGGATACGGTGCAACAGATTCAACAAGCTCACATGTTCATGACATCGACATCGATAGAAGAAACCAAACAAATCATGCAAGCAGCTTTGTTTTGCCTCTGGGACACCTCTTGGGCACCTCTTATGGCATCACTGGTTCAACTCCTCCGTGGAGGTTTTGGGATACGGTGCAACAGATTCAACAAGCTCACAGGTTCGTGAACACATCGGATGCATCGAACAGTGCGGCAAAGTCCAGCCACGCTTCCTTAATTGTCGGGGACTTCAATTCGAAGGTTGGCTGTGTCATTGCTGTTTGTGTGTCTTACATGTTCACAACGTTTTACCTCATGAGCATTTGCCTCACTCCGCTTGATGTCCCACCAGTCCGGATGCACCCCTGCTAGCTTTCGTCACCTACCCTCGGCCTCAAGTCTGACTGACTGTCATTTCTCCACTGTGCTGGGCTCTGGCTCGCGCGAGAAGGGGCATGTGTAAGTGCATGACAATGCATGACAGTTTGGTGTTGTTCATCGTTTGGTGGTGGTTGGACTTGTGTGAGCCCATCGGAGAGCTAGTTTCCGCTATCTGGCAGGGAAGGCAATTTCACATCAATGAATCATGAAACAGCCTCACTTCACAGGCAGCGGCATTAGGCACCTCACCAGCAGCCATGATTGTAGCTTGACCTTCCCTTTTGGCTGCTTCGCAGAGTTGTTGGTCAAGGAGGGGCTGGTATAGGCTTGAATATGATTGTCGTAGAACCTTGCCCTTTAGGGTGCTTCAAGATCATGTTGGCGTTCAGAAGCCGCTGGTTTTGGTTCAATCGCTAACCTTCATCATCTTGGCGATGTGAAAGGTTTCATTTAGAACAGACGAGTTGAACAAGTTGCCTGATTCGTGTCTGCGCGCAGGGCCTGCGCAGCTTCTGCAGTGGGAGTGGCAGGCGAAGACTGGAAATAGATATTTCATTTCAGGATACGAGGAAAACTTGGTGCTGATTGAACTTCACCAGGCCATTGGCCCTCTCTCAAACCAGACCGTCGTTTTCACATTTTGTTACCACATGAGGAAAGCTTTTAACCAGTATAGTTTAATCGCTCATATTGCCGCGCCGGAATTGCTCAGTGCACTGCAACAAAAGGGGTTGGCAAACGCGCGACAGCTTCTTCTTGCGATCGTGCTTCTTGAGCTGTGGCCGTGCGTGAGCGTGCCTCGAACGATAATCGGAAGGACCTCCGAACTATAGGGCCCAGCGCGTCAAGGTATGTGCAAAGATTGAGAGACTATGGCTGGGTCCCTGCCCTGTGCCTCGAAAGATCGTGGATATAATAGCTGCGCGCCCAAATCCTGCGCAACGATATGGCAAGAACAGGCCACGCAACGATCTTTGACCATAGCGCACCATGCTTCTGCGCGTAGCGCAGTTTGATTTTTGGCTGCGGTTTGGTAGATGTTTGCTCAACAGGTACGCGCTCACTCACTGTTGCTCATGTCCCCCTGTTGACAGTCCCACACAAAGCTGTGCGGTGCGAGGCTTGACGGTGCTGATCATGACTGAGCCCAAGTCATTGTTAGCGGAACGCGTGGAGCTGAGATGACGGAAGGCTTGTTACAGTGTTTCATGAATTCAAGCGAGTTTGAGCCTTGAAAGGGGATCCCTCCTCCTGTTCCTGTCATGTAGGCCTCATTTGTCCACGGTCACGCCCCTGTGCCTACTAGACTATACTATATAGTATTGTTCAGAGTTTACTAGTAGTTCGCATGCGTACAGCAACCTACCGTTGTTGCTGTTTCCATGTTGGTTCTTCTGGCCTGTGCTGATTAGTACTATTTGCACCACTGACTAGCTTTTCTACTTCTTTGCTTGTACTATTGTTGCCAAGCAGTGCTACTGCTACTACTACTGCTACTCCTACTCCTACTACTCCTACTGCTACTGCTGCTGCTACTACCACTACTACCACTACCATAACTACGACTACTACTTCTATTGCTTTTTGCTCCTGTCTCTTCTACTACAACTTCAGGTGATATTTGCGTTTCGAGGTCAATTTTACTGCTCGCTGAAGCCGCTAGTATTCATTAAGACTGCCACTTATACTATTGCTGTCGCAGCCTGCTGCTACTACTACTACTACTACTACTACTACTACTACTACTTTAAGGACATCTTCCAACTCACAAGTGTTGATTTGCTTTAAACAGTGAACTAATCATTTTTGCAATTCGTGTGCGCTCCTAAATACCTTGTACTTGTACACAGTCCTGCTGGCGCAGCCACCATCACTATTACCACGACTATATGGTTACTCCACAGCTACCACTCTGCTGCTCTTCCGAAGCTTTCCTTCCTTTTTGCGGCCGCATCCTCCCTGCTGTGCTGCCAGCAGAGCTGTGCGAGTACATGGCCCCTCGAACGTTTACTGGTAGTTGCTCCTGCCGACTGGCTTCTGCTAGATGACACCGCAACCGGTCCCATTTGCACGGAATTGCATTTGATCAAAACGCGAGCGCCAACTGCGAACTATTCTGGTGCGCAAGCTGAGGTGAGAGGGCGAATAGACACACGAAGACTGAGTTGAAGTGTGTGATGGATAGGGTGGGCAAGGACAGAGCAGACTGAGTTGAGATGTGAGCAAGGACAGAGGCACACTGAGTCTGAGTTGCTGTGTGATGATGAGGTGAGCAAGGGCAGAACCACACACGCGCACGGTTTGAGCTGCAAAGAAGGCTTTGGCGTTGGCTCTCCACAGGAGAGCTGGTTTGTTGGAGTTGCGGGTAAAGGGATAGACAATCGACTCATTTGTTCAGGAACAACAGAGGTGGGACATTGAAGCTTGTTTAGCAACTTTGAAATTCGTAAGCTCCTGGAGCTGTGCGTGAAACCACCATTTGTGGAGAATGGGATGCAGTTGGGGCAGGCGTCCATCTTAAATTTAACTGTCATTTCTCTTCATGCTGCGCCTGATGTGCGATCTTGTTGGGCTTGACCCCGCCCCCCTCTTTTGGGGTTTGCTCTGAGAGCGTGATCGAATCATTCTTGGCTTGTTGGGTTCCTGGCCCTTACACAGAATTTATTTGCTTTCTTTGCGGCATCGGAAAGCCTTTAAGGCCCTTGAACATACGTTGGTCATTGCATTTGCTACATCAAAGAAAGTCCAAAATTGTGCTCTTGTGCGCTTGTGGTAGGCAAGCCAAGCATATGAACTGGCAAGGGTACTTTGTAGAGACCGCAAGAGCCCATTCATTGCGAGCACCACACTCCAGTCCCGAAATTGCACTGAACGTTTCGCATAGGGGCATAGGCATAGGGTAAATAAAGCTACAGGCTCTGTACACGGCCCACAGTTGCATTCGTCTGCAGTTTGATCATTCTTGCAAAGGTTTAGGTGTCCACTTTGCGTTGTAGGGATTCAATATAGTGCGCGTACTGTTTGCTTATACTGATTGCTTTGTTGGTGCTTTGGTATTCGAGCTAATGACTTGGCTTTTATGCCCCATGAGCAACTCCCAACTCCCAATCTTTCAACGGTGAAGAATTTGGCGCTGGTGTGTAGATTGGGCGCAATATTGTATGCTGCAAGAAGAACTGCGCGTGCGACAGTCCTGCAAGCAGTGAAGTCATCACTATATGTGTTTTGGCTTGATCTTTGGCCACTAGATTTGCACAAGTTCACAATGCTTTGCCCAGCAGAAGGCCCCCCTCAGTGTAAACTCGAAGACGCACAGTGTATGCAAGACCTACGCGTGAAACGTTGTGGGAATACAGCGTGCGCGCGTCACATGTTTCTATTTTTTGGGGGCGTGTGCTTTGCTTGCAAGCTTTTGATTTAGCCAGCCTGTGTGCCCTAGAACGTGCGCAATAACAACTCAACGTGCGCTGCGAAAACTCCAGACAGACATTGTCAAGCAAAACGCCTCAATGCCTCACGCGTTCAAACCCTCCACCACTTTTTTGACTTCAAAGATCGTCTCAATGATACCTCCCAGCTTACGTTTTGCCTGCGCAGTCGACGGGCTTTTGTCGGAGTTCTTGCAGATACGATGAAACATGTTGCGTTTTGTTTTTGCGTTTTGTTTTTTTCTGGCGTTGAGTAAGGCCAGAGCATTCAGGCGTAAATCGCGGACACCAATTTTATTATTTGATTACTTTCCAAGATCCGTTTTTGCGCATTTGCTTGGCAGGTTTGTTTTTCCTTAGCTTGCGACAACTTTCTTCTCAGGGCGGGTGTGCTTGGTAGGCAAAGACTGGCCTGAATCGATGTGGCAGGCATACTTATCACAGTAGCTTAAAGTTGCTTATATTTAGTGTTGCTTGTCCTCATTGAAAGCGTTAACTGTTGTAACTTGTCGCCCAAGTTGGTTTGATACGAAATTGTTGCTGAGCAGGCCAGGGTTGAGTGGATAAAGTTTTAGCGCGCCGCTCAACATCGTTCTTTCTTTTTTCTTGTTTTGTTCTTTTCTTTTCTTTTCTTTCTTTTTTTCTTTCTTTCCATCCGCTCCTTTCTCACGTAATTTTCCAAGTGTGCTTATACTTGGGTTGATTTTCTGTTTTCTTTCTGACTTCTCACCCTTGTGTCACTTACTATTGCTTTGCGCAATGCGGTCTTTCGCCAAGATGGCAAGGTTATGAAGACTTGGTAGGCGTTGCCTGCAAGAGACAAATGACGCAAGCAAACGGAACTTCGGAACAGGGATGGCAAGCCAGAACTTCTGACTGAAAATGACAGTAAGCAGTGGACTCTTGGCTTCAGGAATTGTGGCGAAAAAGAAGCCTCCAGCAGTTGGATGCCACATGCACGTGTCGCGGCAGTGAATATTAACGTGTTGGCGTGGGTTTTGCCTTTAAGGTCGCAAATTGCTTGGGGTGTTGACTCAGCAAGGTGAATTTTGGCATTGGTTCTCTGACTGGACCAGAGGACTCTTTGTCTACATGTGTTTGAGGAATGCCCCCCATGATGCCCAATGCTCACGACATAAGGTTCTCCTGGAAGCGTAGGGAGAGGCTTTCCTGATGGTGATGATAATGCATGATGAAGACAATTGCGATGGGACTTCAGGCTTTGCCTTCTCGGTGGGAACCATCACTGTGCTGTGACAGTGTGGAGGCTTAGCTGAACAAGAGCTTGGTGAGTATGGATGCAATAAGGAAGAAGTCCAGAATCGAAAATATGGCGGGTGTTGGGGTGTTGATATCGTTGAGACAGCGACCCTATAGCTGGATAGCAAGTCTCTCGGAGAGACACGCCACGGGGAGACGTCTTCATGGTTGTCCGTGTGTTTGGCAAGCGCGGGTCTTGGTGGTTTTGCTGCTGCCGTGGGCGCATATTTCGTAGACCCGCGAACGCCGGACTTGTTTGTCAGACACCAAGCTGCTCACGAAAAAGCTTGTGGTGACACCTATTATACTTGATCCAAATATACATCTTGATTCGACACCACCATCGTCCTTCTCCGGGCTTTGGCGCGAAGAACGAAAACAATCCCCCACGTTGCGACCTCCCCCGAAATATATAGATTTATCATTACTTCGTACGAAGCTTGTTTTGTCAGCTACGTCTGACGTTTTGCCATGTGTTTGCGCCACCTGGAAATTTCTCTGTCAAATTGAAATTGCATCATCGTGAGCATTTCGCTCTGGAGGACAGAACTTGAGCGAATTCCAAAGGTTATTTTCGCATCAAGTCAGCAGCGCCCTCGGAACGAGGCTGCGGGAAGACCAGGCGCTTAATTCAACGCGTCTCTTGAAAGGTTTCAGTTGCTAGCAGGCTTTATCTATAGTCAGCGACTACAGCTCGCGGTTCAACAAGTTAATGGGCAGCTCTTCTGTCAGATTTCGCCTCCATTGAGCAAGAGGTCATGAGTGCCCGGTCAGTTCGTTTCATGAAGGCATCCATCAGCGCGCGATTAACGAAACAGCTTTGAATAGCACGAAACTAGACAGATAGTCGTTACCTTGCGGGGAGACGGTCGGCCGCTAGGAGATACGATGGAAATTGTCTAACCAAAAGCAAACTGTTTGTCTCGTTGGGAACTGCCCTACATTCCAGCCGCCCCAGAGACCTCATTTGGCACAGTTGATATGACCTGGTTTGGTTGAATTCAACTTATAAGTAGGGCAGTCAAAAGACTGCCAGAGTATACGGGAGCTGCCGCCAACATCTGCGCAGGCATCGGGCCCTTTCAATCGTTTGACCTGATCCGTTTGGTTTGTGGCGGCTTCCAAGCCTACCTGAGCACTGCCCCCCCACTGGCTTCTGCGCCAAGGTTCGGCTGGAGATGGATTTCATGCGGCGGGGCCGGCCCAGCATCCGAAGCGACGCGAACTGTCGGAGTTGTTGGAACCCAGAAGTGGAAAGACTTTAAAGCACCATATATGATAGAGACCTTGTACATGTTGAGATTTTGGACTGTAGGTTCACTCTTCCAATATCTGTGCAAAGATACACTGAAGCAAGGGCGTTGAGGTTAGTCAGTGGAAGTGATATTTGCCCCTCTCATGTTTCCCTGTGCGTTGTTTTTACTCTTTGCCAGTAGACGCTTTCGAACACAACTCAAAACGAGGAAACAGTCCAGGAAACACCATAATAACTCTTCAGATGTTGACTTGCACTGGGTCTGGTCGCCCCACTGCGTAGAATTTGTTGGAACGTGGTAGTGTGAGTCATACAAGCAACGCCGCTGTTTGTTGGTGGCTCCAAAGACACAGTGCGTTGTGACCCGTACCAAACCCAGATGAGTGGTTTGATTTTGGAATGCTGGATGTAAACTCCGGCGTGTTTGGATGGTGCCAGAGCCAGAGCAGTAGCCATCAAGTCCCTGTTTTTCACGATGCTTCAACGCAAGCTTGGACACATGTTTTCAGAGACAGGGTGATATTACATAGTGGCTTTTGCGGTGCGTTCGGCGCTCTCGTAAGATGATGCCAATGCGTCCGCCTTGGAAGATTGGTGAAGGTTTGTGGGGGGTGTGGTGGGGGGAATGACGTTCATTTGGTGGTGCTTGTAAGATGATGCCACATGCACACGCGCGCGCGTGAGAAAACTCGGGCGGTCGCAGCGCATTTGGAGGCACTTAGTGGTATTCTAATTTTCTATTTTTCGGCCTTGGTATTTTTCATCGTTTGTATGTTTTTTGAAGAAGCGAGGGGTTTCAATCATTTGTTCGGTGTAGCCGTATGAATGTAGGGATGCCCTAGTTGGGTGTGCTTTGGAGTAGGAGGACTTAAAAGTGGGTTGTAACTTATTTGCAAATTCAATATGTTGCTCAGAACTTGTCTAACTAGACTAGAAGTAGTGTAACTTCTGAAGACTTCTGCAGATAGTTACAAGTTACTTAGGAATTTGTTCCAATATTTTTCCCCTAACTTAATGGAAGTTATTTTGAACTTATTTTGAAGTTATCTTCTTGGTTTTCTGGTTGGTTGATAGGCAAAAGTTGCGCCGCTGAACCAACTTTCTCAGTTCATAACTTTTTTTTGGCGTGCCATTTCCAGTGCGGTTTTCACCGTTTCAGGATGAAAGGAAATGTTCACATTTCAGGTTTCCGCATCAGATTTCATTTCACCTCATCACTATAAAGGAGTGTGTACAAGTGAATAAACAGCCTGCCCGGGTTCGTTTCTTCAGAGCACCGACTGAAGCTTGAAGACATGACCTATAGCAGCCAAGCCAGTGATGCACACGGTAAAGGTAAATCTCACTTTTAACCAAATTGTATTTCTCACTCTTCAAATTTGGGGGGTGGCCTGGCTCTGCGTTTGCAAGAAGGTTATTATAAAGTAGTTCTGCAAGGTTGCGGATGCCTTTAGAAAGGACATACAAATCAAACTTGAAAAAATTGAAATGTCAAATTCACTTTTTTCAAGTTACACCCAAGGTGCTGGCGATGCAGGTCCCCCAGTCCTGCATAACTCGCACCTTTTTGACCACAAAAATCAGGAAATTACAGGAAGCCACCCGTATACCACCGTATACCGTCCGTATACCATCCGTATACCATGCCAGGATCCCAGCCGTATACCACCGTATACCGTCCGTATACCAGCCGTATACCATCCGTGTACCGCCATGGCCCCCGTATACCACCGTATACCGTCCGTGTACGACCCGTATACCACACATCCCCGCCCACCCTCCCCCTGCCTTCACAGTTTCCAGGTGTTATTTTTTAGTTTCCATTGAGCTTTTTTCAGGGACTCAAGCAGGGACGGACTAACAAAAAAGTCGCAGCGTGGCGCAGTTTAAATTTTGTGGGGCAATGGGGAACGTGCAGTCTTGGTTCCTGTCGAGATTGTAATGCACATGGTCACTGTCTCTTTCGCATGCGCCGAGCAGGAGAGCTGCTGCAGCTCCATGGCGCAGAGCTGCTGCGGCGCAAGCCCCTTAAGCTATAGGAGTTTCGCCAGTGCCTTGCCCAGCGCAAAAAAGGTGCACCAATTTCGGTTGCAGTCACTTCGGTCAAGAACTTAACCCAGCAATTTGCGCGCCTCGTGGCCCAGGAGAAGAAAATCCGTGTGGAAGTCAAACTGTTTCTCAAGGTCAAAGGCAATGTTGTTGCGGCGCTGCCTGGCCTGGACAAAGGACCTCAATATGGCAAAAAGTGGAAATTGTGCTGCTGGAAAGGGAGGCCCATGTCCTGTTGAAAGCCATGGTTGGTCAAGGCCTATGACGGTCTACTTCTCAAGAGGCCTTGTCGAATTGTGTGTGGATTTTCAAAGACCTGGGCGACTACGAGCTGATATCCTAAAAGGGCGACTATGAGCTGATATCTTGAAAGCAAGCAAAAAGTTTCCATGGCTTGAGATTTGCTGCAGGTTAATGCTTAAGGTTGCAACATGTTGCAAAGACCTACCGATTTCAGTCAGGTGACTTGAGAACAGCTTACCCTGAGTTTATTGTCGCCCAAGTCAAAGAAGAAGTCTGGGCAAACCTTGGGCAAGACAGGATATGCGCTGGTTGGAGGACTGAAGAGCGCGCGCGAGCTCATGAAAGCAGCTGCTAAGCTGAAGGCTGCAGGTTTCCTGAAGCCGCAGAACTTGGCAGACGTGATAGTTGAAAATGAGGAAGGAATGCCGCGTCATCCAAAAAGTAAAGTAAATCGAGGAGCCGCTGCCACTAGACCCTAGCATATTAGGCCAAAACGAAGACAATACAGGGATGAAGAAGCTGATGCCCTGCGCCTGCCATCTCTCCAAGTTCCACCTCCTTCTTGGGAAAACAGGCGGGCAGAAGGGCTGCGCCTTGACTAGAAGGCTGGGAAGCGCTCCAGGCATGGCAATGGCTTTGTGTTTGATATGTTGGGCAGGTGGTTAAAAAACTTAATTAATGTGGAGACCTGAAACAATTCCGCGTTGCGCTCATCTACAATCTGCTGCGGTCGTTTTAGAGGCCCAACAGCGGAAAGCTCTCTTTTAGACTGCGCAGTGTGGAGACAAGTGATGACATACAAAACTCGGCCTTGCTCAAGTTTTGCAAGCTCGCGCAAAACATGCAAATGTGCGTGCATCGCGCGTGCAGGCGTCCAAACAAACTTGCACACCTGCAAACAAATGCGTATAATGCACACATACACGTCTGTACACACACAATGACATCATTCCTTTTCTTTCCTGCCCTTACATTGGTCGTGTCCTTTTCTTTTTTGTGGTTTCGTGCAAATGGTTCATACCTTTCCTTCCCTGCCCTTCTCGTTCATTCGTTCATTCTTTCATTTCGTTTCATGTCTTTTCATTTCTTTTCGTTTTGTTTCAGTTCATGTCGTTTCGTTTCTTCATTAATTTTCATTTCATTTTTCGTTCATTCATGACAGTTGTTTAATTCATTTTTCGTTCATTCGTTCATTCTTTTGTTCGTTTCATTTCGTTTCGTGTCATGTCGTGTTGTTTCGTTCTTTTCTTCTTTTTTTGGTTCGTTTCGCCCATTTTGTTCAACCGGTCGTTCATGCTTTCGTTCGTGGATTCATTTCATATATTGGTTCGTCCGCTTCATTCATTTCGTTCGTTATTTCATTTCGTTGCGTTGCGCTGCGCTGCGTTGCATTCCATTCCGTTCCGTTCCATTCCGCGCCGTTCTGATCGTTCGTTCGTTCGTTCATTTGTGCCTTTCATCAATTCGTTCCGTTCGGTCAGTCACTCATTCACTCAAAAACTCCGTCCGTTTCGTTCCGCTTCGCGTCGTTTTATGTCAATTCGTTGCGTGTCGTGTTTTCATTTCATTTCGTTTCATTTCCGTCATTTATGATGTCTTTCATGGCTGTTCGAGTTGCTCACGGGAGACGGACGGTTCCCATGTTTGGTGTGTTTGTGAGCACCAACTTGTCGAACACCAACCATGGGCCTGAGGAGACGCTTGAGCTTGCGGCGTGAAGCAAGTTTGGCGCAGGAGCCGGGACAAGTAGAACTCGTGTCCGAAGGTGGCTATAAAAGCAGGGGAGGGTCTCCCACAACACACGCCTGCCGCGTGACCGGCCTTCCGGGTTCTTGGTTCTGACGTTAGCGCACGTTTTGTTGTTCTGGGACAGGTGCTTTCGGGGAACCCTCAACTGGCCACTCAACAGGATACCCTCCAAATCATGTGTATATATATATATTCTTTTTTTGCAGCAGCTTAAATTTGAAAAGGCGATAGCGAACGTGGCTATCTGGCTATATAGCTTGAACTCCGAATGCTTTGTGAAGCTGGCGAGGAGGTGGCGGATCGCCGATGCCAGCGTCCATTGTGGGAAAACAGAGCCTGGCGCACGCCGTCCGTTTGGGAAACTTGACATGTTTGCAGAGAATGGCCTCACTCCCAATCTGATCCTCACTCTTTTGTCCCACAGATGGGGAAGCAATAGGAGTCGGCCCCGCCACGGCGATTCAGATCGGGATAGCGCTGGGTGTCGATTCTAAAAGCATGCGCTATAGACACAAAAAGTTTGGGTCAACGTCCTACTGTTGGAGAATGCGCTTTATATTTTTGTGGGGGTGATGCTTGCTTTTAGACCAGCAATGGGCTCCCAAAGTCAATTCACGCCATGTAGTATTGGAGGGCGCGTCCTTGTAGAAAAGTATTTGCGAATTACCAGCAGGTGCCTTCGAGAGCTCAGAGGACTCGCAACCTGGGTAGAGCGAGCCACTCGTATAAACCCTGCGGACTGTTCATACATGTGTAGAACAGCAAAGCGGAAACGGAAACCGACAATGTAACGAATCCGGGTTTGCATGGGTATTCTACTCATGTAACGTGGTCTTCAACCTGTTTCCTGCTACCTGGTTCCCCTTCTACACCTGGCATCTCAAAGTACCTCGGCAAATGGGCGCAAGTACTTGTTTGCGCAGGGTCATATCAGAGATCTAAGGTCTCTTCAAAAACAATCCACTGCAGGTTGCAGTTTTAGTGTGTTGACCAGGTACCCATGCATGCAGGGATGATTGGGTGTTTGATCCATCGTAGAAAGTGTTTTCAAACAGATCGCCCGGACAATGTTCAGTTGAATCAGTGTGTTTCCGATTCCAATTACAAACTCAGAGACCTTAAGGCCACTATACAAAGTTCATTTCAATTCTGTATAAAACGGTTCCGGAAGGCCCCAAGGGACAGTCAATTATAATAATTCCAAGATTTCAGCAATCATAGTAAGATATTTTGGTTGAAACACTTGCAATCTGTATGGATGAAACAACATGAATTTCGACCCTACGGCGCATCATTGTATAGCGAACAAGCACTTTCTCTATTGCAACAATTCAGTCCGCACTAAATGTGTAACCAATCAATTTGTAACAACCATTTTCTCATGTTCTTCCATTCTGTAGCTAGAACCGGCTGCAAGACTTTCCAGTCGAAAATTATTTCCGCACGCCTCTATAGAAAGGCCTGCACGACCCCTCCTGGGGAATGTGAGTGACTGTGAATTTAAACCAAATTTGAAGCCGTGGCCGCTGCGCTGCTGCCAGGCTGGGCTAAAGACGGCCTGGGCACCCAGAAAGCGTGTTGGGACCGTCGGATGCCATTTTGTTTGAGACCAACCACTGCAGCGTGGTGCACCTTAGCCATTATGAACGCAATTGGTTGTGTGATATGTTTCGTCCAACGGTGTCCAACAATTCACCCGACAGCTATGGATGGGGCAGCGCACTGTGGATGAGAGGGACTGGGGCAGCGCAACTTGACAACGACTAGTTCGATTGTTGCAAATCAATTCATGGTCACCCTTGTCACCCTTGTCCGAACCAGTCACCCTTGCCAGTGGTGACAAGTCTGCCGTTACTCACCCAATTGGTACTGTGTCAATACTGTTCCAATTGTTGCAACAATAGCCTCATTGGTTATGAATATGTTTTGTGTTCAAGGCCTTCTTTGATGTATTAGGGCCAGGGGAACTCCCACTCGCAGTAAACGAGTCTGTCTGGTCTTTTGCCTTCAGTTTCAGGGGGGAAAACAAGGTTCTGACCGTTTGACCCTCAGTTGAATTTTTGTTATGAGCATTCTGGGTAAATAATGACAAACATAGCCCCTTCCTCATGGGTGCTGGGCTGAATGAGCATTTTGTCCCCAATTTTTCTGTATTGAGACACTTCTTAACATAGTTACAGCCCTATCCTTCGGAATTGAATTCATTCGCGTGAATGATATCCAGGAAAACAGCGCTCGTTTTAGGGCGCTTTCTTCTTGGGGGGCTGCGTGTTTCCATCAACCAGACTGCTCGGCCTGCCCAGGACGAAGAGTACTTGGCAGAGTTGACAACAACTTGCAAGAAGAAGGCTCGCAGTGAACAGTAGAGGATTTCAGAGACCGCGGAGGGCTTGATTAGCAGGGTCTAGAAGGGAAAAGATACTTTGTGGGTTGTCAGTTTTGATCTGTGAAAATTCAGTGTTTCAAGTGTTTAAGTTTTATGTGCATATTTGGTGTTTGCGGCCCTTGTGGAATGCATGGGGGTTTGGATTTTGTTGTGATCTGTTGGTGCATTTGCATGTTCGGTATGTTCCTGTGGGTTTGACCAGGTGAACCTATGTGACCCCACCGACGTGGTGCCCACCAATACCATTGGGCGTGAAATGAGTCGTTCAGCTCTGAAAGGGTACTCGTACTGAGGTCACCAACCACAAACTGTTACACCTTCGGATCAACACCTACGGTTGCTCTATTTCTTTGTCCAAGAGCATTCGACCATATTCTTGTTTCTGGGCAGTGTGAATAAGACACTGTCACAAAACACGATTGTCTCAAGCAAACCCCGGAAACTGAGGACCTTGAGTTTTGTTCGACGCTTGTCACGGAGTAACTAACGTCGATCGCCGCCTCGAAACCCGCGGCCGAGCGAAGACGAGGCTGGTGACTTTGAAGATCGGCAAAAGCTGCGGGATGAGGTGCGCGCGTCGTTCGAGACGCTGCGCGGACGCGGCACGCCAGGGTGACCATGCGCAGCTGCGAGGCCCCATGCAGGGGGTGTTTCTTGTTTCATGTGCGGAGGGTATTCAATTCCCGGATGCGAAGTGTACGGGGTAAGAAGTGTTCAATGTGTTGATGTTCTCTACGAATGAATAATTGGAGGTCCGGATAGATTGGTATTTCAAGATCTCCGGATAGATTTTTGTGCACGGTTCGCGCAGAAGTCGTTGTTGAACAAAACTTGAGCTTTGGAATTTAATCATCTATCATTTGATTTCACTACCATCATAGGCCGGGTTCCTGCTTTGACTTCTCCACGCAAACAATCGGACCATTTTTCCATGATATTTCACGGGTCAAGAAGGCAGACTGGTTTCTAGATTCAAACCAATGAATTTCAAGGCTACTCCCCTTGTGGCTGTGCAGAGTCCGCGTCTTGAACATGTTTCGGGAGTCCTGAAAGTCGCGGCTGTGGACACTGTGGACACTGTACGAAAGGAGGAAAACCAGACCAAGCAGGCGCATTGCAGTTTGTTTGCCATGACCATGCCCTGAATATGTTTGCATGTGTTTTTCTTCCCCTGACTGTGTGACCTGGTGGTGCAATCAACGTACCAGACAAGAGCGACGTAATCAGACATGGGTCATCATGGACTTGGTTTGTTTCCAACCATGCAATGGGTTTTGCTTGTACCCCCCGAAATGGCCTTAGGGTTGAACAACCTGCATGTTTTTATACTCAATAATTTGCCTTGGGTTGAATCAACATCATTTTTACATTATATTTGCTGCACCCAGACCATATTCACACGGCTCGACCCGGTTCAAAACACAATACATACACGCAATAGTGATATGAATTTGCCCGCAGTTTCGTTTAGCATAGTACCAGGAGTCGCAAAGTCCCTAAGTGAGTGGATAGTGGGCACCCCTATCCTCCAATACCAGCTGCTTCCGTTCGGGGTGACCAATGGACGGGGGCCCCTACACTGCAGACATTGGTCACCAGACAGGAAACGCAGGTGAATCGTTTATCTCCACCAACTCTCGTCCAACAATGGACGGTTTCAGGCGGCAGATTCTGCCCAAATCCGACCCCCCAACGCCCTGGGGATGACGATCCAAATCCAGCAAAAACAACCGGTCACCATGGGATTCTGATAGAAACTGTTCTAAGTTCCTTTTCCTTTGCTCTCCCTCCTATGCACCATTCTTCGCTCGACAGTTTTAGGAGCTCGTGGCCATTGGCGAGGCCGCCAAGGCCATCTCGGAGGCCGGTGCCACGGGCGACGACCCAGTAGGACCTTCCCGAAACCGGTCCCAGCCAGGGCTTTCATGGAATACGAGGGCACGAACTAGGGTGTGGAGGTCTGTGGAGGTGAAGGCTTTCGAATAGGTTAGAGATTAGATTCATCCTAATGTTTACCAAACTGAGTGGGGGAGTCGGGATAGAAGAGGTGAGTTTCAGAATGAGGCAAAGAATCACAGGAAGTGGTGTGAGCCTTTGGCACCGAACGATTCTGTAGTTTTAGTTTAAGTTGTTTAAGTATAGTTCCTGTTGCCATCTTCAGTCTCCGTCTATGTGGCTTGTGACTGGGTCCAGGTCCCAAAAGTACACCCCGTCTTTTGGTGGATTGCTTTCAAAGCTCCGGAAACTCGAGGAACAATAGTAACAAGTGCCTTAACTAGTAGTAGCAGGTGCCTTACTAGTAGTAACAAGAAGCTATTAGAAACAAGTGCCACGCTACTAGTAAAGTAAAAGGCATGTAATCGATTTGGCTCGGGACCCCCCTCAGTCTATTTCCCTTCCAGGCCGAACCGGGGGCGCTTTCCCGACCAAAAAGACGCAGCTATGCACTGGAAGTCCGTTTGACAATTTTTACAATCGTTTTGTAGTCGTGTAATTCGTAAAACAATGGTTGTTCGGGATTCAGGCTATTAAATAGATTGTGGTTCGACTTGTAGGGTATGTGTTCCATCCAGTGACTGGGGCAACATGCAAGACCTCCACGTCTGCAGATCACCAGCAGCAGCCTGGTCCAGATGAAGGCAAAGCAGGCGATCGTCACTGGGGCAGATGGTCTTCCCAGGGTTGGTTGAGCCGAAGCAGATTGCAAACATCATTCAAAGCTCCAAGGTGGATCGTTCACGTTTGATCATGGCATACTTGGACCATTTGATGTTGCTTTTCCGCTTCTTTCCTTCGAACGAGTCTGCTATCCATCCAAGACTGAGAACCAGTCACCAGTCCGAGTGCGCACCCGGGAAGAGAGACTGTGTCGCCCCTTAGAGGTCCGGTGAATCCCGGAAAAAGGACCGAGCTTTTTAAACAAAACGGTTGACCAAGCTAGTCAGGTCATCACTGGTTCGAAGGGCCCTGAGATAAAAACAGTTGACCAAGCTAGTCAAGAGGTCACCAGTTTGGTTCGAAGGGAGGCCCTGCCCTGGTGGGCCGCAAGGGGGGGAGCTCCTGGGGTTCACCAGACGGGAAGTCAACATGTGTTTTTCGGTTTGGACGGGTTTAGACATGCCTGGACTTGAGGACATGCCTGGTGGCTTAATGAGAATCAAAAGAATTCAATTGTTAGCTCTTACAAGCACTGTTTGTTTAAGTACAGCACCAAGGGGGAGGGGTTCCCAAAACATAAGCCAGCCCAATCAGTCTAGAACCCAGATTCGCATATGAGTCGATTTGATTTATGTTCGTAGGATCTTGCACGCGACCAATGCAAGCCCACGGAAGACAACTCAGGCCGCATGTGGGGTTCCCAACCCCCCCCATCCATCCCGCAATCCCAGAACTTCCGTTTTGATGACGAACCTGAACTACTCCACCTGGTAGTCAATCCATCCACCACTACGAACTACCAGTTCGGGGTACAATGCGTCATGATGACTTGGACTCTCAGGCAATGCTTTCGCGTCGATCCGCTGGCTGCTTTCACCGTTCAGGCGTCGAAGAGCACGGTCCTGGCGCAGCTGCGGAGCGAGGTCCTGAGCCCGGTGCAGGTGCGCCTGGCAGAGCGGTGGCTTGTCCGGCGAAGGCTTCTATCTCAACCGGCTTCATATTTGGATGAGAAGAGCGAAAGAGCTCCAAACTATCCAAACCCTGGCGGGAAGCTCCAAGACATCAGACACCCCCATCTCCTGCCAAAATGGGTTCGACCATATGTGTAGGTCCGTTTGCAGCCTGTTTGACCCATGCTCAGATAGCTGCTTTGGACAAAAACACCTGATGACCCTCACGATGGGCATGGATCTGGCACGTGTCTGGACAGAATGAAGTTTATGAAATGCGAACAGATACCTGAACCATCCTGTCTGGATGTCCTTGCTGGATACCTCCTTCAGTGTGCTGGGTAGTTGGCCGGAAAGTGGGACCCTGTGCCACCTGGACCTTTACAGCTATAGAGCCAAAGGAAGAATTCTTGGAACCTCCATCATTGCAGAGGTGGAAATACTCTCATTCCACCATTATAGTGAGGGCCTGGAGTTGTTTTGTTCTTGTTCTTTTTTCTGGGCAGGCGGCAGGGGTCTCAAGTGTGCACCAAATGCTCGACGATTATCGTGAGAAGCTGGGCATGAGGCTGCAGTCACCACACGGATGCAGTGAGTTTAACATGTCACATGAGAATGAGTGTATTAAAATGGGGAGACCTCCCGACCCTCTGGAAGAACGAAGAACACAGACCTCCCAGGCGTCTCCCTATTGAAATAAACACCCGCGTCTCTCTTTGTCCCGTTCTTACGGTGGAAGAAAGCAACGCACCCGTGGAATGACCGTTCCTTTCAACGGGGTGTGCGGTTGGATTGAGGTTGTTTTTTACTCCCCACAAAACTACAGGTAGACGTTTATACACAGGTTGACGTCGTCTATACACCTGTAGATGCTTTTATGCGTTGAACATCGGATTCTGTTCGATCCTGTTCGATCATTTTAATCATCTTGCAGAATGTTGAGTCTAAAGGTTGAGCATGGTTGAGCAGTTTGCCATCCATAGATATCCATCATAAGAGTTCACATCACATTTGACCATCACCTGTTTGTTGCTCCATGTCCACGTCATTCAGAGATCGCCCCCCATGTCCCCCCCCATTTCAATCGCCCGACGCTGTCTCTGCAGCCGTGAACGTCTCGGCGAGATCTTGTGAATCACTCGGCCATCCCGCGGGTGTCGCCCATTCCACAGAAACGTGGTCATTCCTTTCGCTTAGTGAACCAAAAACCCTTTGGCGCGGGACCTCAGAGGTGTTTGTTGTGTTCGTGTTCGATCCATACGACGTGGGGTTCGATTCTCGGTACAGCGGAATAGTCGGCGGGTAGAAGAGATCGGAAGGCAGAAGGCGGCAGGGCCAGCACCACTCTTGGTATGACGAGATCGGAGCGATCACTCAACAGCCCGGGGCTAATAATAGGGAAGGTCTGTCCATGGTGAGACCGAGACTCAGAGTTCGAGTGATCGAGTGATTGGAGATCCTTAAGACCGTGGAGTCAGCTTTTGGAAGAAAGGACCATCCACGACTCAGTTCCAACTATTTTGTCATCTTTTTTTGTCAACTAAGGACTTCTTGAAAACCTCTTTATCATTATATGTGTAATTTCTTTTTCCTGCCTGTTCCATATCTCCGGTACTAGAGGGGGTTCTCCGAGACAGGGTGGTCCGACAAAACGGAGAAAGCACATCCCTGCTGGAAATGCTATACCCTAGGGCTCCAAGTAGCAGAAGGTATTTGGACCCTCCAAGCCCACCCCAAACACTGTCAGAAGGTACGACTGGAGCTTATGGGCGGGATGACCACCGACATCCATCGACCTCGCTGTGAGGTTTTCCATCGACCCGTATGGCACCACAATTCGGTGGTACTGCGGATGTTTTGCGGATCGTAGCTGCGGTCTCTATAGGGTCGAGGCGAGGTAGGTTTGCAATGTCCGGCATGGCCCGTCCTGTTTGGGCGTCCAATGCACATCCATGTGCTACCCCACAGGATGGTCCAGACAGGATGGTAGGTCTTTCAACGCAAAAGCATTGGACGTTCTGTTTTTTTGAGACTCAGTATAGCTTCTTGTTCCTAGTACTGTATGTATAATATATATATATAGTAATGGGTAATGGCCTCCAACCCAATAGCGATGGCCTCCAACCTAATTAGCTTCTTGCTCCTTGTAGCGATGCCCTTGTTACTTGTATACACGGTACGATTCTTCTGCAAGTTGCCTTGGACCAGAGGTTACGTTGGAGGCAGGAAGTTGGGACGGACTACCGACGCAGCGGTGAGAGTTCTGAAACCGCGGCTCCACGCAGGGACCGTGAACATGTTCGCCGTTTTCACCCCGTTGGGTGACCGTGCCCAGGTCAGAATGGCGCTGACCTGTTGGATGGCATTCTTCGTCCTTCTGGGAACCGTTTCAGGGGACGGACTTTATGACAAGGACCGATGAATCAAGTTTTTTTATGTGCACTTTGCAGCTTTTTCGAGGCACAGGTTTGGGGAGCCCTTGAACATTCCGAGGGGTACTGCTGGTTCTCTGAAGGACTCCGTCTCCGGCAATGGGGCATAACTCGGCATTAACTCTTTCTTACTGACGAAGTACACCATCGCAGGGAACAGCAACTGGACCTTGGTTTCTTTGCTGGATCTGTTTCCGATAGCGGGGGGGCACAGGTGGATGTATAGGTTCTGTGGAGCTCAGCCAAATGGCAGGATGGCTTGGTTTGGATACGCTGGTTCAACATCTGTCAGACCACCCTACCCAGCAAGAGTGGATACGCATTTACATCCTTTGGGGGGATTGGGGGGGGTGACACCCCACATGAGGTGCGAACTGATTGGGCAGCCCTACCATGCCCTACCCATCCTTGGGACCCGGATCTCTTCGCCAAAAAAACCTCGGCGGTCGGATGAGGAGCAACCGCTTCAACTTCGACGTGTGAAGAGTGCGACAAAGCAATTCTCTCTTCATCCTGAAGTCCTTGGGCTACACAGTTCGCCGAACTCAAACAACGAAACAGTTTGGCCCAGTTCAAAAGACACCAACAAAGGCAGAGCTGGCACATCAGTTTTTGATAGTTTTGTGTGGTTTTCTGTCCCGTTTCAGGGGAGCGGAACCTGTTGAACCTGTCGAACCGCTTTTCCCCGAAGGAACACAACAAATGCAGTAGATGAGCACCAGCAAGGGAACATCATCATGTTGCTCGCAACACCTGTTGAGACCAACAGTATTAATTGAACCTGTTGAGAGGCCATTGACCTGTTGGGTCCATGCTTTTCCACATGGAGTAAACAAGCCATAAGCTCAGCCGCTGCCTTCGTCGCCTGTTTTCCTTCATTTCACAACTTGGTCAGGTCCAAACCTGACTTTGGGAGTTGGCGACGTCCATGTTCCTTTTTCGGTTCCTAGCTGTCCTAGCTGCTAGGACATGTCGCAAGTGGTTGCGAGCTGCGGCAGCTGCTGCTTGAGCTTTTTGTTCAATCGAACTTCGTCAGCCCGGCCGTCCGCCGTGTTCGCCATCTAAGGCCGCAAGCCTTTACCAGCAAACAACGGCCCAAATGCCAATTGAAGAGACGACCAATGAGCTGCTTGCTGTGCACAACAGTGCTGTCACTATAGCTTTTGCTGTTGGTAACTAGCCGGATGTTGTAGCTTTGATAGGCAGCTGCCCGCATTGGCATGCATGTCAGGCAACCTGGCACGTTTTTTTCAATTTCTTTCTTCCTGTGCGAAGTCTTGCCATGTTGACCTGCTACTGTCACTTCCAAGTTTGCGAACCACAAGCTTTACTCTACCGAGAAAAATCTTTCAGTTGCAGTCCGACCATAGTCCGACCCTGGCCCTATTCTCTGCTCGTGAAGAAGATGGATCTCTTCAGTCCCAAAGCTGCCACCACTCCGTAGTTCGTGCCCTTGGAGCACCAGACCTGAGAGTGGCAGCACATGTGTGGCTCAGTCCAGTTCCCATCGCCCGACCCGACCGTACCTTCGGTCACGTACACGAGAGCGGTTTTGTGGCCGGTTCCATTCAGCTGCCGAGCTAGGTCTTGGTTCTCTCGCCTGGGTAACTCCTTCATCACGGCCTTCTGTGGCATTCTCCTCATCCCCTTCGCCTTGGCCGCCTGGACGTCGAAGAAGAGACGAGAAGAACGGGGGAAAAACGGGTGACCCGGGGACGTGTGGCATGGTTGTTTACAAAGAAGATCGAAAGGTAGTGTTCGTGAAATCCTGAGCTACGGCTACTTTCTTTCCATCGTTTTTGGATTAAACAAACAATGTTATACAATTCAGTGGAGTGGAGACTATGGCAGGTTGCATCAGACCAAAGCAATGCAAGAAGATAGAGACTTTTAGGGTTGGAACAGAATCTTACACGCTCCGAGTCACTGACATGAGTGTAACCCACCCTGATTGTGGAGGAAACTGCTCTTCCCAAAGGCCATGCCTTCAGCTTCCATGGAATCCGGACTTTAGGAGTCGCGCATCAACTTCCTCCCCCAGCGCCCCCACCCCATTCATCCCTTTCTCTTCTCCGCCAGTCTTTGATGTGGATGAACGAGCAACGAAATGCTCGCCATGAGAGCTTGCTGCAGCTGGCCACCAGCGAAGTGTCCTCAATCTCCTCCAGGCTCAGAGCCGAGGAGAGCCGAGAGTGGAGCACCGGCACCATGGTTCAACTTCATCGGACAGACAGACACTCCCTCGAACCATATCATGAAAGGATATATATATGAAAGGTGAAAACCACCTACTAGTCTAGTGTATATAGAGAAAAATGGCAATCCTATCGTTGCCATGCCATCCACTTCCATGATTCCGAAAACTGGACCATTTTGGGGGGTCAGAACATGTTCCTTCTGAAAAGGGGTAAGTCCGGCATGGTTTTCAGCGCTTCAAGGATGGTGGGTCAGTTCCTCCTCTTTGGTTTCGGGGCATGGCCTTTGGCTGTGGGTCAAAACCTGGGGGGACCCTGGTTGACCACCGAAGATGAACAGAATAGAGCACGTGACGTCGGTCGA